GCAAATAAAAATTAAGTTTTCTCCACTTAGCTTTAATATCAAACAAGATGACATTTAATTTCATTGCCACAGCAGAAATGTTACTATCATTATATTTTCACAATAATATCAAGTCATTTAATAGAGTCCGTTAAGAGAGGGATAAAAAGGTTGTATGAAAGCACCATTAGGAGATAATAATATGAGATGATTTTTAGACTCAGTCAAATTGGTCACTAAAATTTTATGTGTCAATTACATTGTGCCTAGTGAGCCCAGAGGTTTGATAAGGTGCTATCATTTTAAAAAGAGAACTAGTCAGAAACGGTTTATAATAATTTGAAGGGCCCAACTGCAGGAATGTGATGGATGGCCAGCCGGGTCACAATCATACAGATACAAGACATCAGAGTCAGACATTACCTTCCTCTGCAGGCGCAGCTCTGCTTCCGCTTATGAATGGGAAGAGAAGGGCTGGAACTCCACAGTGATCATCAGTCACCAGACGGCTTTCAGTAGTGTGATAGGAACACTGGAAGGAGAAGCATCTCAGCTGCTACACTGCCCCGGACACCCGCCATCTTTCTCTGTCCTTTATTCCTGCCCTCAGCTGAAGGATCATTCATGATGTTGCAGTGTCCCACACAGAGAGAGTGCCGGCCTGTGCTGCGCCCAGGTGCCGCTAGGTGGCAGTGCCCTCCGGCCAGCAGTCTAGATTGCCTAGTGGAAGCACCAGCCCTTCCTGGCACCACCATTTGAATAGATTTAGAGATGATGGTATCTGGTTATCTCTTCATATAGCCTTTGTCAAAACTTGGCTGTTAGTTATACTTAATAGTACAGCTCCCTCTGTACTTCTCCCCCCTGCACCACTAGTGCTGGTGTCGTATTCTTGTCACTATTTATGCTTGGCAACACGCAGCCCTATGGTGTGGCCATGCATTTTATGAATGGGAAAATCATACTTGCAGGACTAGCGGTGGTAAGGGGGAAGTACAATTGGAAATGTATTGTCCGGTAAAACTAAGATCCATATTTTTAAGCTGTATGAATAAAAGAGGCACCTCATTATTACACAGCAGAGATAAACAGCTACTAACCACTCTCAAGCTGTTTAAATGATGGTGCCTTGAACTTAACTTTAGCAGAGGTCATTCAGATTGTTAAAAATCATCCCTGACTAGTATTAGTCAATCATAGTATTCAGATTTAGATTCAGAATACTTTAATTTGTAGTAATTAGTATTATGTCACTTTTTTGTTGTAGCTCAGAGTTGGGTATTTTGAAGGCGGACTCCATTAGCTTTCTCTTGTGCAAATTATTATTGTGTTCATGGTGTAAAAATAATATAAATTATATCATGTAAAATCACATTTATTTTTAATTATTCATCTTTTCTACCATTTATTAGGTACAAATGAGGTATGTTAGATCTGAAAACCATAATTAGTTATTGATTTTATTTTTTTTTTTTATTTACTGCTTGAAAGTTATAAGGAAAATTATTAGTGGCTTAAAAGGGAACATACTAAGTTTTAAAATACATCTGTCAAAAGTTTAAAATAAAAGTTCCCATTTTTATACTGTTAAGTCACATACTAATCCCATGGTTATAAAAATGAACTTATTCAACTCTGGTGCATGTCGCATTCCTGAAACTAGTATGCAGTCCTAAAATCAGAAAATAACTGTATGTCCAGCCAATGCAATTTTTTTGTTTTGTCTTTGTTTTGGATAGAATGGAGGAGAGTTAGAACCCCTACCAGGCATGACTACAAATTTTGATGGGGCCCCCAAGTAACTTCTTTCTGTGGCATTTTGCAGTTACGCAACAATACTGTCACTGATCTTACCAGAAAATAATGCTGAAATCAAGGATAGACAGAAGGAAAACTGTAACTTAAGCTGACCGTGCACATATGGATTTTTTCGGATTGGATGCAGGCACTGTTCTGCTGACAATTTTCTGCCCTGCTCCTTTGACTTTTCAATTCAGAGATGTTGGGTGGGAGGCAGCCAACACAGCCACCCACCTTGCAAATGTAAGCCAGTTCATCAGGAACTTACAAAATTCACTCTGTGTATAGCCAGCTTTAGTCAGTGCACTACTAGTGACCAGCACATTGGATAAAAGTTTTTTAAGTTTATCAGATCTAAATTGTCAGGGATTAAGGCGGGCCATGGATTACTCAGTTTTTTTTTTTCATGCAACCAGAAGATTGAAAAAAAAAAACTGACCCAATGTCAAATGTGTGGATGGGGGAATCCTCCCCACTGTGATGTATTCTGACAGTGGAGAGACTTCCCTGCCATCAGAATACACAGATTAGCATAGCAGCCTATAGCCTGCAGCGTTAATCGGCTTTTAAAACAGAGCGGTTGTACAGAAGTCGCTAGATTGACTTCCATTCAACCACAGTGGCAATACATGGATCGAAATGTGCCCAGTCTCTGCTAAACCAGCCGAATTTCAATCCATATATGGCCTGATTTAATGTAAAGGGGTGGTCTATTAGTCAGTAAAAAATCAGGTGAAGTAGCAAAAATAACCAGCAAAATATTTCATATGATTACATAATTATTAGAGCGCCTGCATGCATTTTCATTATAGTCTTAACACAAACTTTAAACTCTGACTTTTTTGGCAAAACTACAAATCTCAGCTGTTTTATCAAATTTTAGCTAACGATACACTTTATTAGAATTTCAGAAAGACTGCATTAGATATACAGAGTTAATTTTGGAGTTCCAAGCATAAAGTTAATAAATCCACTCAATCTCCTGCACTTGGAAGTTGTCCCACAAATGACGCTTGGCTAAATCTCCCTCTTGGGTCTGTCAGATATGCCTCGCCTTGTTGCCCTCTCATGACTGGGGATGTGTGAGAACACTATAAACGTAAAAACAAAACAGAGGGCGCACCAGCCTAGTGCATTATTCTTAAGACTAAACTTTATTATTAAAAACATGAAAAGTTGTATACTCATAAGACCACAGATGTACAAAGGCTAGTCACAACACAACAGCAAATTCTAACCAACGATGCATCTTATTACATTGTAGAGTATAGAGAGATCAAACCTCCTGATGTGTTTCAAGGCCTTGCCTCTTCTTTAGAGCTGTATGAATCCATGGTGAGTATCCATACTTATATGGTATAAAACAGGATATGAAACTTGTTCTGTTTTATACCATATAAGTATGCATACTCACTATGCATTCATACAGCTCTGAAGAAGAGGCAAGGACTCAAAACGCATCAGCAAGGTTGATCTCTATATACCCTACACTGTGATGAGATGCATCGTTGGTCAGAATTTGCTGTTGTGTTGTGATAAGTCTTTGTACATCTGTGGTCTTGTGAGTACATGTTTTAATAATAAAGTCCAGTCTTAAGAATAATGCACTAGGCTGTTGCGCCCTCTGTTTTGTGTTTACGTTAATTTTGGAGTGGCTGAAATGTAGTAGAATCTATGAAGCAAATAAATCTGCACTGCTATGACAGCTAAGCAAAAGAAATAGATTGCAGACTTCACTGTTTAACCAATGGAGGTCCACAAGCTCTTAATAAACATTCTGGAATTCAAAGAGTTAAAACAAGTTCATGGCTGCTGTGACCTTATCATTTTGCTCTTGGTTATCAAGTAAAAAGTGATGTAGAACCACCCAGTCTCTTTTACAGTACTGTGAAGGTGCTGAAGTAGAGGGCAGTGGAGACATTAGGGCTCACGTAGACCTCTGATGCCTCTTTAAAGAGTACTTGTCACCTGCCAAATGATATCATATAGGGAGCAATAAAGTTACATTAAACAAAAAAATAAAATACAAGTGTTAAAAAAATTCAAATTATGATAAAACAAATAAAAATTTTTTAAAAGCAACCCTGTTGCCCCCCCCCCCCCCCCCCACACACACACACACACACACCCATTAATGCAAATGCTTTAGTAGTGCACAGATATCTAAGTAAGCAGAGATGGTGCCAAACATGTTAGGTATTGATGCGAACTGCAAAGTAAGAGCAATAATTCTAGGGCCCTCATGTTCTGCTAACTCTAAAGGCATAGCCTGTAAATGCTTTTAAAACTTTGCTATGGACAATTTTTAGTACCGTAGTGTTTTTTTCTTTTTATTATTGTGCACATTTTTTGGCATGTTTGGTGTCTATATATTTTATGCAACCCAATCTTTTACATATTATGACAAGATTGTGTGTTATATTTGGTTTGTGTGCACTAAAATTCATATTAGTGTATTTCTTCCCGAAATTATAAATTTGATTTAAAAAAATTGTAAATGACACCATTTCTCCTACAGGGCCCCTGCTTTCAGTAAATATATACTTGTATGGGCATTTTAAGTATTTTTCTGGGCACAAATGTAGATTTTAAGATGGCCCACTATAGCTATAGCTTTAATGGTATCCAGACCTTTATTAGGGATTTCCTCTTGCTCCCTATTCCACTTTTTCACCAGACAGTAATTGAGGAAAAATCTACAACAGGGACACAGACAGTGATTAAAAGCTGTTTGACAAAGCATTTTTATATGCATTTATGTTGCCATTAAATATTTACCATCCTTCCTGTCTGATGAAATCATTATCAGCAGTACAGGAGGTAATAGGAAATCTTTTTAACTGAGTCCTGGATAGCAATAACACCTCATAGGGTTTCTAACCCTTCCCCAATATATTCAACCCCTCCCCAAAATTGTTTTGGCTGGACATGTACTTTAAAGCTTTAAAAAGGTAAGTACTAGAGTTAATCACTATGTAATATTTAAAAAAAAAAAACTAATTATTGTTATCTTTTCTCTCTTCAGGTACAATTTCAAAATTGTGAATTAAATACCCTTAATAATTCTCAACATGAATGCATCAATAGAAAATGTTGATGTTGACTGTTCCAAATCAGGAAGACACAATTACTTGTTCATCACTGTCCCAATAATTTACAGCATAATATTTGTTGTAGGAATTTTTGGGAATAGTCTTGTGGTCATCGTCATTTATTGCTACATGAAGATGAAGACAGTGGCCAGCATATTTTTATTGAATTTAGCCATTGCGGATTTGTGTTTTGTGATCACGTTACCTTTGTGGGCAGCCTATACAGCCATGCACTATGAATGGCCTTTCGGTAGCTTTTTGTGCAAACTGGCATCAGGAGCAATTACATTAAATTTATACACATCCGTCCTTCTACTTACGTGTCTCAGCATTGACCGATACAGAGCCATTGTGCACCCTATGAAATCTCGCATTCGGCGCACCATGATGTTTGCCAAGATAACCTGTATTGCAATATGGATTCTTGCATGTTTGGCTAGCCTCCCCACTTATATCTTTCGGAGAGTAATCCTTATTAAAGAGGAAAACTTAACAGTTTGTGCTTTTTACTACAAGTCTAATGATACACAAAATGTGTTGATTGGAATGGGCATTACAAAGAATGTTCTTGGATTTTTCATTCCTTTCTTGATCATTTTGACAAGCTACATCTTCATTGGCAAGACACTGAAGTCAACATTCCAAAGGCAAAAAGGTAAAACCAGGAATGATGATATACTTAAAATGATAGTCGCAATCGTTCTGGTGTTTTTCTTCTGTTGGCTTCCACATCAAGTGTTTACTTTTGTGGACATTTTGATCCAGCTGGGGCACATAAAAAGTTGCGTAGTAGAAGACGTTGTAGATTCAGCTATGCCAATTACCATATGCATTGCTTACTTCAACAGTTGTCTGAACCCATTCTTGTATGGTTTTTTTTGGCAAGAACTTCCGAAAACACTTCCTGCAACTTCTTAAATACATACCACCACAACTAAGGACACATGCAAGTCTGAACACGAAAACAAGTACTCTTTCTTATCGGCCATCAGACAATAACAGAGCCTCAGTCAAAAATCCTTTGAAGTTGAATGAACATGAAGAAATACATACAGGGGGTACTTAAATTGGTAAAATTCAAAGACTGTAAAACTTTGCATTAGCATACAGTGGCACATGGATGGGGTCATAGCTGATTTAAATTGTACAGTAAAATCCCATTTTTTCTTGAGGAAAAAAATCTTATATGCTAATCTTATACACTGCATTTATGTTGGCAAATTTCACTACTGAATCATACCAATTCATGCTCTATAGCGAGCAAAACGTGTATTCCAATAATTTCCTGCTTTCTGAGCGACAGCTGAGGCAGTCTACCTGATAAAATGACATGAGTGGTCCCAGTGCTATAATGAAAGAAAAAAACCACTAGGCAGTGAACTATATCTGGGAGTATTCTGTACACAAATCATGTATAAGAGCACCCCTTTTTTGATAGTTATAAGGACGTGACATTTATAGTAGTAATAAAAATTATAATAATAATCATTATGTCCAGCCAGTTTTGACTAGAATGGGAAAAGTTTAGAATCACTGTCAGGCTTTTACATCTTTCTGTTTTATAGCTGTCTTTTTCTTTTCAGCCCCTTGCCAGTTGTTGTTGGTAGATAAAGACAGGGTAGAGTCCAATTTTTTAGTTGTTGTCAGAACAGGAATTGAAGGAAGATATAGACATCTCTTCTGGTAACAGCTGACAAGGATTGTGTGTCTGAGAGCACACCTACCCAGTGGGAACACAGACAAGAATAGAAATCTGACAGACATTTTAACCCTTGCCTTAACTCTTCCCATAACTAGACATTTTAAAGCCTAAGTGTAGAAAAAAAAAAGAAACAAAAAAATCAGCACAAGGGACATTTCATACTATCAATGCACTGTGTCCCTTATGCTGCTGGCTCTATAGACTCCAATTCTCCTCTAGACCTTCCTCCATAATCGTTTGGTGTGGTGCATATGACAGGTCACTCTCAAATAATCCCTACTGCACTAGATGATTACAGTGGCTGGGGTCGGGGATGGAGGTGGGGGTGAAAGATCAGTGGAGGAAGATTTCAACTAAAACAGGAGTCAGCAGCACAAAGGACATATGGCATCAATAGTAAGTCATTTCTCTAGTGCTGATTTTTTTTTCTTTACTGAACTTAGGCTTTAACCATAGTTGCACTTTAAATGAAAAATGTGTAGCAACTGTATATAGATGTTTTATGAAAGTTGAGTTATCTATACATTTTGAAATTCTCTGGATTGATTATTGCTTACATAAGCTAATATATTTGTAAAATCAGAGAGAGTGAAACACTTGTCAATAAAACATACACCATTGATATAATTGTGGTAAGAAATGTGTACAGTATGGTAACTCTCTGCAACCTCTGAGAACTCATCTTCCACTATGCTCATCCCTGCAAAATAAAATCAGAATGTTTGAATTTTTTTGCTGCACCCAATTGCTGTTCTCTGCACTGCTTCATAGTAAAAGCTCAAACACGCACTAGACTTAAGCCGGCCATAAAAGGGTCAAATATTAATTGATTCAGCAGGGACCAGCTGTGATTCGATCTATCTAGTGCTGAATTAGGGAAGCCATAGATAATATGATTTTCTTTACTGCAATCCAAGAAAATCGCTGGAATCCCCCATCAACTCAATCAGTGTGGATGAGGGATTCAAGCGAGTTTCTTGCATGGCAGGAATGAAAATTGCATTATCTATGGCTTGCCTTAGAATCAAGACCTAGCCGCCAAATACTTTCTGTAGGCTTTTCCTAGGCTCCACATTCCAGAAGAATACTGCATGTACAGTTAATTTTGGTAAATCAACCGAATGAATGAGAGAATTGATGAATGGATGAATGATTGAACTAACGAACAAACTTTCATTACTATACCTCATTTTAGCAAAGAATGCTTTCAGAATGTACTTTACTATAGATGCATTTTACCACATAAAGGTTAAAATATACATATATTTTTATTTTCTAATGTATATTCCTGTACATATGTTTTTCAATCACATTCTGGTTTCTAATATGTAAATCATTGTTTTTTATTAAAGGATCTGTCCACCCAAAAGTGATGTTTTGGTTCGAGTATAGTTTGGTATATAGCTACTGTAAATGACCCAGTGGCTTCGTAGGTGTCTTGTATATAAGATCTCCCTATTATAGTGTGGCTCTTTATTTTACTACATTTGTGTTTGGGGTGTTCTTTCATAATTATCCTGGGGCCTCACTGCTCCATTTTGTATTCCCCATAACATCAAATAAATAAAACATCTAACTGGAAGAATGTGTCCTTCTCATAACAGCCATGGCAGAAGGGCTGGTCTGGAAATTTATTATCAGAGATCTTGCTACTCAGAGAGATAAGAGACAGGTAGATTACCAACCAATCAACCGACATTGGCTAACATTACTGAAAACTGAAATATCAGTTTTGAGTAGACAAAAATCCTAAAACTAATGTGAGAGGACTTCTGCATATTTATAAAAGTAAGTATTGTTTATAAATCATTTTACATATTTATTTAAACAACAGGCAGATTCAGAGTTATCTTAAGTGGTCATATACTGGCTTTTTGGTCCTTCAAGAAAAAATATTAATATCTATAACTGTGTTCCTGAGCTATTTCAGCAGTTACTTTTTTCATACTGTGTTATGATTAAGAACCAGGTTGTCTGAAACACAGTGGCATTCAGGATTGTAATTTTTAAGGCTAATGCATTTTTCATTGAAATAATGGAAACACATGAAAAAATGAAAATGCATCTTACCGGGTGTTAATACACTTTACTTATATGTGTTGCAATGTACTTATCGTTGCACAGTAACACTCTCGAGTAATGACTTCAATAGGAACATAAAAGCGTTACAGCACAAGGTGGGAATTGGGAATTATAAATTGTCATTGACCTTGCATTGATAATTGAGGAAAGTGCCTGTAGGGCTAACTCACAGGTATTGCTATCTTAAAGTGGTAGTAAAGTCTCTCTGTTTATCTTCTACCTACAGATAGGTCTATAATAACGCTTACCTGTAGGTACTGTAAATATATCCTAAGCGTGCACCGTTTAGGAGATATTTATTTCTGTAGAAGCCGGTGATGTCACCGGCGCATGCACCTTGAAGGAACATGACGGGCATGCTCCATGTCACGTGTGGGACTCCAACACGCATGAGCAGGAGTAGCGTCATCATGGCCCGGCCAGTCAGATGGCTGGAGTCTGTAAACCCGGTCAGTGGTGAAAGCGCATTGCTGGGGGGCTTTGTTTTAAGCTATTTCATATTGTGCTAGTTTGTGAAGCATAGTAGCACACTATAGCATTGCCTTGCAGGGGAAAGGTTTTGCTTTTTTTTTTCAAGTTTACTATCACTTAAATTATTGATGTTGATGTACATTATCTGGTACCCAGGTAGGCAGCTTCTACACCCCAGAGAATCTCCATGGCCTCCTTGGCTTGTAGTGTAATGTGACATGCCACTGATGATACTGATGATATTTTCTCTAAGTATAGCCCTGCTTCATAAAGGGGGATGTCCAACACAGGCTTTGCCTCTAGGGATTTCAGCATATTATTACATTCACAATGATTCCATGAATCAAAAATTATATTAAGGATTTTATTAAAATGCAGAATATCTAGCATTTTAGCCAATAAAATAGAACATGTAAATAATCAGAAATCCAAAGAGCTCATTGTGTAGTAAATAAAACATTTCCAATTTATTAAATAAAATGATAAAATTCACTCACAAACGAGCTGGAAGAAGGAGCATGTAGTCCTTAGCATGAGCAGCCATGGGTAGGTCCACATCAAGGCACAGGAGTAATGGAAGAATCCCAGCCAGGCTGGATGGAGGTCATACTGCAGCTAGCTGGGAAAATACTTACCCTATTGCTGGGGAAAGAGAGACCAGCCACTATCTGTGCAGACACACCTCTTGAATGATGTCATAGATTGGAAATGCCGATATGGAGAGACACTCCTTCTTCCACATTGTTTTTGAGTGCATTTCATTATTTTATTTATTAAATTTAAATATTTTATTTACTGCACAATGAGCTCTTTGAGCTGGATTTCTTTCTGTTTATTTGAATGACTCCCCCTCCAGCTATCAGGCAGCATCGGAAATCTGTACCCTTCACGAGATGCCTGTTACATAGGTTTACCCATGACCATTTATCAATATTGGGCCAGTCTATTCAGTTGATATCCACATTATTGTTTGTACCTTGCTCTGTATTTGTACACTATATAGACCATACCATTTGTGATATTTACTAATAGTCCAACATTTGGATTGACCATCTTGTGATTTTGTTTCTTTTTTTGGTACCAATAGAAAATGTAAAACTTACAGAAATTTTAAACAAAACCTTTACTATTAGGATATTAGGCTATAAAAATACAATTCAATTTCAGTTCAGCTTCTTCTCTCTGTGAAGGTAATTGATAGTCTATATTGTACTCAGTCATAATATTTTAGGCATATTCAGTAATGTAGTGCAAAGGGCCCTGGTGTTAAGAACTTATACAAAATGCAGTAATCAGTAGTTGCCAATCTTCAAAGATAGTTTAAAGTTGAAGTCCGGGCTAAACCTATCCTATACTAACTAGCCTGTAGAGGAAAGATGTCTATACGAACCTATTCAAGGCCACTTTGGTCACATGATTGGCTCCCAGCGCCAGCTTCAGGGAGGGGAGGGATAGCCAACAACTGATGCCCTATAGTAAGTCTATGGGTGACGTCGCTGCTAAGGCATTGCAGCCAATGTTTCTGCTCTCTCCTGTCCCCTGAAGCCAGCACTGGGAGCTGATCACATGACCAGACCGGAGTGCCCTTAGAATAGCAATATACAGACATCTTTCCTCTACAGGACTTCTATGGGGGGCACCCAAGTAGGCTCGCTCCCAAGCA